AAGTTCAATTTGAGCTCTTGTTCTAGATATACATTGAAACTAACCGTCTAGTTGAGTTATAATGTAAAGAGCACTGAAACATATTTTGTATCTTGCACTGGTAGCGAAATTTTGGGTGGCATGCCCTAGTAGCCAGAATAGATAGCCAAACTTAGACATTGTCTTACATTGTTATTTTTGTAGTTTTATTGCTTTTTGCTTACTTGATTTGGCTTTTTGCAGTATATGTCAGTACTTGAAGCTCTGTATTTAATTTGGTTTTAATGTATATGGCTAGATGCTGTAACAATAAAAGTATGTATGTATCTTGCACTACTGTTTTCAGCGTTCTTTGTCTTCCAGGTCGGTTTTAGAGAACGAATGATCCTGCTCTGTGGAGGTGGCTTCTGTGGCATGGTGCCCAAAGAAGGATCAACCGTGGCTGGGATCTACATGATCTTAATGAACAACCTGTACATGATCTTTGAGATTGGTCACCTAAACCGGTCCATGTCTCTGCTGGAGAGAGTCGAGCCGGATCCAACGATTGGCGTCGGATGGGTTATCCCATATTACTATTACGCAGCCCTTGCCCTGGCAACGATCACTTATCCACTAAGTATCTACTTCATCTCTTCTGTCTGCAAGGAAGACACGGTTGGCATATTCATCTACCTCGGTTGGATCGTCTTCTATGACATCTCCAACTGTGTCATCGTCACCTTGACGAGCCAGGCGGCAAAGACTGCCGGTTTTTCCATCCATTTTTTAGAATGGGTTAGCGTGTTAATTAAGATCACACTGGACTGCTTTTGGATCCCTTTTATAATAACGTATGCTTTCTTGATTTTGGAAGTCAGACAAACAGACACCAATAGAAGGAGATCAAGAAAGAATTCAGTACCCCCCAGGTTTAGATTGCATGTCCGTGGAAGAATGGAATGAGACAGAGGTGCCTTAGTTATTGCATTTGTGCTTCTTGAGGTTTGGCATTATTGCTTTTAATTAAATTCATTATTTTGTTTCAGTGTAAAAGGCTTTCCATTTCTTTACTAGTCTAAATGCTTTGTCCCTTGTGCTACCAGTTTGGCTGTTTTGATGCAGCCAGCGAAAGCAGTCCCACTTTTGCAGCTGGCTGGCAAGCTTTTGCAGTGTCTAAGTACATGCTATTTGTTCTATGGCAAAAGTGGTGGGACTTGAGAATAGGGATAGAAGTCTTTGCTTATTTCATTTTTTAAAAGTGAGAAGAAAAAGTTTTCTTTCTGCTGGGTAACAGAGATTTTCTGCATTAATTTTTTGCATTTTAACACTTTTTAACCAACATTTAGTTGAAATACTGTATTTTGCATAAAAACCTAGTATTTTGGGTTCAAAAAACCTTTTAATTTTGCAAAGATTTTTTTTACGAAATACAAGTTTTGCGCAGGTTTCCTGCAAATGCTCATGCTTTTTAAAACTGTTTTGTTTTGCTTTATATTGGTCATGGTATCTTAATGTTTTGAGGCACCATTTTTCACTGAGGATAAGAAAATTTGTAAAGATCCATTTCATCTTTCCTTTTAAAAATAGCGCTTTCCATCTTTGTCTACCCACCCCCACGTCTAACCTATGTGGCTTTGGAAAACCTTGAACTGCTTTCTCTTCACATTTTCTTTTTAAAAAGCAGGAACTAGCTATTCGAATTTCTTCATAAGAAAAGAAAGTGAGCTAGGTACAAACAGATCTCTTCTACATTAGGAATAAAGTAAAAGGTGGAATCATGAAATCAATAATGGATTATCATGATTTCATAGCAGTTTTTGTGGGGGGTCATCTCCCCAAAAGCAGACTTTCATGTTGAATATTTTCCCCTATATAAATCCCAGCTAATAAACTCTTTCTGAAAAGACGTCCATCTACAATAAAGAAATCTTGGATGCATGTTTTAAGGCAGGTCCAAACGCCATCTGCTAGGGTCATGGTGCGTTGAAAGCTAAGACGTTTCATTCTGGTATACATTTCGATTATGATAAGGAGTGCAAACAAAGAACAAACTCAAAACCTATTTTTTAGTTTTCTGCCATCAAGTCACATCAGAATTACAGAGACCCCAATGTTTGCTTGATTTCATTCTGTTAGCTGCCCAGAAGAGTGCATTGCACCAATGGGGCAGATAGTCTCAAAAAGACCTATCAAGGTGCACCTTTGGGATGCCAAAAGATCCAAAAATACAGACAGCTGTTGGAGATCACCCACTCTCTTCCTTGGCGAAGATGTTGGAAAAAGCTGTTGGGGAAAAGTTGAGGAAACAAAGAAAGAACAATGACTTGAGGTTGAGGGCAGAATCTTGTCGAATCCTGCCATGTGCTGAGCATCTGGTGCTTCTGCGCCCAAAAGGTTTGTAGTGAAGGGGTTCACTGCCCTCTGGTCTTCATCTGCACCGCCAAGACTGGCAGAGCTACCTCTACCCTGGAAATGTGTTATCCTCTATCAATGGGCATTCATGATACCGCCCCCGCTGCCGCCAATGTCCATGTTATGTTCTGAGATCTAATTAACTGAGAAATGATAAATAAATAAATAAGTTGGCTGAATTAAACTGATACAGAGAGAAGAGCTCAGTGGTTTTGGCAGCTGGCTGTGGAGCCATAGCTTGGTTGTTCCAATTCCCCACACTGCCTCTGTCGGTTGCCCACTCAAAAGACAGTGGCTGGAGGAGGTAGGGAAGCCGGGACGCAGACCTTGTCAGAAAGGGGCCCCAACAGTTGAAGCTTCAGGGCCCCAAAAAGGTAGGTCCACCACTGGCCCTGCAGCCTCTGTTTAAACACACCCAAGAAAGAAGTTGAGGCAGCGCCGCAACTCCCCAGTTCCAGGAGGTAGTCAGAGAAAGTAGCCTTGGCAGGGCAGGCTGGACTCTGTGAACTTTGTACAGGAGTGCACAATAAAGCATGTACCATACTGCATGAGTGCAATAAAACGTGCACGTTTTGGAGGAAAACATGCAAAAGCAAGGGTTCTTTGTTCAGTAACACTGACACAATACACGTTTTCCACAATATTTCTGCATTCTCTCCCCCACAAATATCCAAAAGACAAAAATTGTATTAAAATTCTCGTATCACTCACCTGGTTCGGGAGAAAAAAACTTTGGAAACTTGTCTCTGAGAATGAAATACACCAAGACTTACCTTCCTAGCGTTCAGCTTTTGTGGATCTAGGACCCACTGTCACCTCCTATTTGCACTTTAGAGAGAAGCTGTCAATTCTGTACTGCCTACATGTAGCGGCTGTGCTGCTGCAGAAACCTTCCTTGCCTGATCCACCCGGCGAAAGTCGGCAGAAGATCTACTCTGGTGTGAAAAGTTCAGACGCCAAACATCCACAATCAAAACTGTTAACATCTTGAGAATACTTTAATCTTCAACATCACAAAGGTTTAACTGCATTTTGCACCAATGCACCTAAACAGCAAGGGATGGTGCACCGCAGAGATGGCAACCGCAGAGAGTTAAGCGCAAACTGCATTTTAAACCAAAGGGCCAAAGTCCTGGCACACAGCTACACCCACATAACTTGAAGCGACACAAGTAGTTCCACCATCAGCTACGTAGTCAGGCAGGAAATGCAGACTGCCTGGCCATAACTCCCTACAGACTTCATGCTATGCCCAGTGCAACAGGATTTCACCCACCATCTTCCAAAGTCAGGCTATCCCTTTAACCTTTTGTCTAAATCTGAGATACACCTAGGACTGACATGTTTTCAAACATGGATTTAAAATAATTTCCCAACACTGAATTATGAAGGAACATGTGGTTTTCTGTCAACAGGTTACACGGCATCAATGAGGGATGGAATTTTCCCAAGTCTTTCAGTCACCTGTCATCTCTCTGGCAGACTGATTAACTACCGGCCTGTCACTACTGCTTATTTACACCACTTCACTTACGCTGGATTAACTAACCAACAAGATTCTGGCTCGTGCATCACACGTAAACCTGGATCTCTCCCTTTCTACAGCTAGGATATTTTTATCATCAGGGTTATCACATATTTCACATGGGACATCACAAATGATTTTATTATACCAGTGAGCGTTAACAAAAGAAGATGACTGGAACGTTTCACCTATCAGACAAATGTCTTCCTATGCCTGCCAGCCAACCCTTCCAAAACCAGAAAGAACAGGTCCAAGTTAGGAAGAAAAGCCAACACAAGGCAAAATGCTGCTCTGGGAAAAAAACAGGACCACTAATTGGGACGCTAGCAAAGACACAGTGCCGGCAGCACAATGAATATAGAGCAAGCGGCAAAAAATAAAATTACAATCCAAACACTTCACAGCAACTGGATGGGTAGTAGCTCCTCCTTTGTCCAGTCCCTGGGGACCAAGAGAGAAAAGCACGTCTCCAAAGCACAGCCGCAGAAGGAATGCCATGCTCCTGCTCCTCGAGAAAGCTGGGGGATTCGAGCAGCTGGTCTTGCACCATCCTGTACAGCAGTTGCTTCGCAGAGAAATCCTACTTCTTCCTCCCACCTCTTTCTTTGAGCGCTAAGTGAATCACGGACCCACTGGTCATGTTGTAGTAAGCCAAGGAGTTGGAATCCTTGATGAAAATGCCCTGTAAAAACAAGAGAGTCTTAGTAGTACCAAGCCGTGGCTTAGCAAGGAAAGGGGCCCAGGTAAGATGGATAATCTCCTCTTCTTTTTCTGCCCACTCTGTTTCCCAAGACAGCTTGCTCTATTTGTAGCGACACATGGAAGGCACATCAAAGAGTAGGGCGCAAGGCTAAAGAAAGCCAGAAGAACACAGACAGAACAAGGGCCTTGGGCACACAGAATGAAATAGGAAAGGGTTAAAACCACAGAGAAGCAGCAGAAGAAACAGTTACGGAGTCATTCCTCCACTACACCCTAACATTTGCCTAAGAAGAAAGACAGGATTTTAAAGGTCAACATGACCAAGCACCCACCTCATACTGGAGTTTCTGCTTGCCAGCAGGCATTCCGGTGGCTTCGTGGATCTTAACCTTTATCACAGAGACCTGAGAACCAGAAAAGAAAAAAAAAACCCACCATATCAGCAGATGAGATACTATAAAAGGACTGGCACCACATGCTGGAGAAAGACAGCGCAGGACAGGAACACAGAACTAAGTGGATGCTTCAATAAAGCAGCCAGGGGAGCAACATTCAGGCAAGCCGACTTCAAAGAACTTAATCATATTACAGGTAGTTGGAGAAGAGGAGGGCACCCAAGCCATCTGCAATCTGCTCTGCCCATGGGAGAGAATTCCTTTGGAGCAAACAGACCAGGCTCAGCCAGGTCAGTATTTTTTGCCAAATGGAAAGAACTTCCCACGGAGCACCATCGATGGTTTGCATCGGCTTCGCCGCAAAAGCTGAGCGAAGTGCCTCGAGGGAGCAGCTCACAGCTCGGGAACATCGCTGAGGAACGGTCCGCGTATTCGGCAACAAAACACGGCAAGACGTCTCGCCATCTTTTTCCAAATGGAAAAACGCAAAGCGGCAATCGATACCAAGCACAGGTCATGTTGGCATGGACCTACGACTGAGCTAGGACAGAAAAGTGCCGACTTCTCTAGTGTAGCCCATCTGCTTAAGATGGTGGTTGGTGGGGTCATGTTTGGGCATGAAAACGAGTCCCTGACCTCCAGAAGACATGCTGAAGAGGAAAGAAGCCTCTGTGAATGCAGAAACTGCCCCCCCCATGTGTTGCTCAGGGTAACCCTGGGCTGCTTACCTGGTCAGAAAGAGGGAGCGTAAAGACCAGCACCTGCCCATTCAGCTTCCATTCGGTCTTGTCCTGCATGTTGGGGACCTGGACTTTGACAGTGACAGGGCCCTAAAAGGAGAAACACCATGAGCGACAGGCAGAGGTATCCCAGGGGAAGGGAACAGGAGCCAATAAGAGAACAGACAGAGAGGCTAAACGCAAGAACCCTTTTGCTTCTCCCTTGCTTGACACTGGTTTTACTGGCTCCCAACATTCTGGTGCCATTTTCCTGCAAACCGCAAACCTATCTGCTTGAATTTCAAGTGGGGAGTAGGTCACCCACGACCAAACTGGACTGGCATGCAAAGGGGAGCCGATTATCCAGACACTGACATGGAAAGTTATCCTTAATCCACAATCTACCCTGGAAGAGTCTCCTAAGGAAAAAACAACTTGTCTGTCTACAAGTCTATTAACTGCGCACCTTGTTCCTCCTCAGGAACTCCTCTTCCGGCATGAGGCTGTCTTCAGACTTCAGTTTCTTAGAGGCAGGCTCATCATCCATGGGCGGTGGTGGGTGAACAGGAGGCATAGGCGCCGGAGCACTGACCGGAGGTACAGGAGGAGCTGGAACAAATGCTGAAGCAACAGGAAGAGTTGCTGTTAGAAGAACAGTGGCAACTGCCTTTTCATCAGGGAGCGGAATCGGTTGTACCCCAAAGCGGTGGGTGTCAAATGTAGAAACTGTCCAAACTTAACTAACCAAGCTGGCACGTCATCTCAGCTTTGGGCAACCAAGAACAAAACAACAGGGGGGGGGGAGCCGGTTGTCACCTGGCACAGAGGGCAGAAGGGCTGCCAACCACCTGGGTTCCAAGAAGTAGGGGCTGATGCTCCCACTTCTAGTGTGTTCTCTCATGTATTATAGAAAACAGTAGTATGAACAAAATCCGTGTCGGGTAGCAGGAGGAAAAAAGAAAAGCCAGCTGACACAGAGAGCAGAAAGTCTGGCTTCTGGTTTATGTTACTATCCCAGACAGCTGCTAAACTGTGAAAGCAGGATATCCTAAGGAACACCTCCACAGAAAATAGGCAAAATTTGAGTGTTGGCGGAGAAAAAAAAAGATAATGAGAAAAGAGAGACACAGCTGCCTCCCACGATGCATCAATGCCATAAAGTCACAAGTAAATAAGGCATAATTATTCTGCAGGGACAGTTGACCTCTTGTCAACTCCTGTCTGTGATGCCATCAGGGAAGCAGGAACAGGGAATCTGGGTGCACCGTCTGATCGCAGGTCATGACATGACAGGATAACGCTCTCTTCAAAAGGACTTACATTTGACACCCCGGCCTTTAAGGAAGGAAAGAGGCAAGAATAGGAAAAAAGAATCTGTGGTAATTCCAAGGCAAAAAGCTGCGTTACAATGAGATTAGTTGGGCGAAACGCCAAAGGAGGCTGTCATCCCACCCACCTCCCGCCCAAGCATTGCAAAAGCCAGGATTTTAATGCAACCGTGAGGCATCTGCACTTGAATGCTTCTAACTAAGGAACGCAGGCACACAAAAATTGTGCTTTCCTGCTGCAACACGAAGGTTAAATGCCATTACAAGGAATATGGTGAAACGTAAGTGAAACAGCTACTGTTGTGGGCTGGACTGACATGCGCGTCCAGGGCTACTCCCAGCTGCGGAGCCCCCACTAGGAAGAGTTGCTCCGTCTCTCAAGGCATCCTGCTTCTAAGGAAGGGTCCCTTCATGACAGCCATCGGCCCTTGGGAGCTACTGCCCTTCATGGCTCACTGAGGAATGCAGCTGTGTGCTACACATCTGTTTCAGCCACACCTTACCTTTCTAAAGGCAAAGGAAAAATGCACCCCAATCCACCCTTCCTTCCTCTCTCTTTCCTGGGTTTCCAATGCTTGGGCCGGAGACTCTTACTTAGGTCTATTTGCTCGATTTTAGAAATTCTTTGGAAGTTATTCCAGTCTGCTACAAAAGGTTTGGCTTGGAATTACTGGAGGCATTGGCATTTTTTTAGAAAGAAGAACACAGTAAGATTCCAGACGTGAGCACTTCCATGGGGCGGCCACACCTCTGAGCCACGCTGGTAGCAACTCTGAGCTACTTACTCCTCTGAATCTCGGACAGGAGAGTCACTGATACAAATGAGGAAGTGCCCTCCACCGAGCAGCCAGACCTCTTTCTGGAGACAAGCAGGGTTTACAGATGCACTGCTCCCAGTATCTATATCACTGGGGCAGTGCGTCTGACAAGCAAATCAAAGGGAGCTGGCCGTTGTTTTTCGCAAGGGTGACACTCCGGCTCCTCCGGTACTGCTGGCCTGAGTTTCCCCTTGCAACAGGGGCGTGCCTCCGGAGCACCGGCACGCAAGCTTAGCATGCAGCCATGACAGCTTGGAAGAGCGGCGACAATCAGGCCAAGAAATCTACAAAGTCAGAACTATTGACACACATAGATGCACACCACAGCCAGGATTCCCCCGGGACCACTCTGGACAGACAAGAGAAGTGAAGGCATGCAAATTAGAGCTTGACTGGAAGGTTAGTGATTAGCCGAGTTTACCTCTGCGGGCACAATGACACTTAAGGAGTTACCTGGGCTGCTGACTGGTCCCTGTCTGTATCCTATATTGTAACAATTAAATATAATTAGTCAACGACTCAGCTCAACTGCAACCTAGGATAAAAACATACAGCCTATTTAGACTTCATATTCAAAGGTGAAAATTTATGCGATACAGCACCAGACCCAGGCCATTTCTTTGTCGTGTGATATAGCGCTGAAAAACACCTGGCAGAGTGTGGTTTTCTGAATCCTTTCAGAAAAAAACACCCTTGATTATATATAGACTCAAATCTGTGTAACCATAACGAGCACTAAGGTACATAGAATAAAAGTCTGAGGCTCTTAAAACAAACGTTGCATGTAAGTGGAGCGTTCTAAGGAATAAATAATACAAAATCTACTCTCATTTGTGCTCCTTTAATTAAACAAGTGGAATCAACTACTATGGGAAGAATGGCAAGAAAGCAGGAAAGCCCTGTGAAAACCATCTACCTCACATTTCTACAGAGAAGGGGGCTGGGTGGAGGCAAGCCTTAGGGCTGTCGTGGCCAGACAGCAGAACGACTTTCATGCCTCTTGTCCTAGACACGGAACTTTTGGGATGAAAGGCTCGCCTGCAGAAATATTGCTGCTTACCTGATCTTCAGTCTATTTTTAAAAAATAAAAAAAATCTAAAAGAAAAAGAAAAAATTGGATACAGGGCATAAAATGGGTAGAACTAAATGCTACTAGAGTATCATAACACAGCTTCTATATCCATCCAGTAGCAAATAAATACAATGCTTGAAGGCAAGAAACACTTTCCATGCTTCATTCTGCTGTAAAATTGGCTTTCCATTAGGAGCCTCGTGGTGTGGTGCTTAAACTGCACTACTGCAGTCCAGACTCTGTTCAGCTCGAGGCTGACTCAGCCTTCTATTCTTCCAAGGCTGGGAAACTGAGCACCCAGCTTGCTGGGGTGTGTGTGTGTGTGTGTAGCCTGCATAATTAAACATGCCCAGAGCTTGCTTAAAATGCTATGGGGTGGTACAGAAGCCACACACTCATAGCTTTTCCTATACAGGTACTGCATAAACTAGCATTACAAAAATGTGACTTCTCATGATTTTTAGTACTGTAGCTGGGACGGCATCCTAAGGTTTTGCCGAAGAAAACACATTAAGCGGAGGCAAATTCTGAAGGATCAGTGTTAACTCTGACAGGCTGTTGTATTTCCTGAAACTACAACTTAGGTAAAAAGAAGCAATCTTCGACACCGACCTGTTGGCACGATCATGGGAGGCGGGCGCGGCGCCATCATGGGCGGAGCCGAAGGGGGCATCGGCACAACATTGATCCTCGGAGCGTGTATGATCGGTGGCATCGGCGTCGCAATGACGGAGCCCGGTGGCAAGCGGACCACGGACGTCATCGGGTTTGGGGGACGAGGCATCACAGGGACAGCGCTGACCACTGTGGTACGAACAGGAGGCGGCATCTAGGAAGAAAACGGTTTGTACTCTCTTAAACATTGGGTTCTGGGGACAGAAATGAGGTTTTCCAGGTAACAAAGGAGCTCCGCAAGGAAGGAGCAGGACTTACCGAAGGGGGACGGGGCACAGAGGCGATCGGTGGGGCGCTCGTTGGAATGTTTGGGGCGGAGGACGGTGGTGGCGGCGGCTGGGGCATCTCGTTGGGCTTGCTCGGACCGATCTTCTCCTTGCTGTCGTCCTCCGGCACCAGCCCTTTGGCCTTATGGATCGCCTCAATCTGCTCCTGCAGAGTGATGTTGGCCTGAGCGGCTTGCTGGGTTCGGGCCATGCTGCCGGAATGACCGTCCCAGGTCACCTAGCGACACAGGAAAAAAAAGGGCTTTCAAGTCTCTCATTTTATTTGGGGAAATACAATACGGCAAGACTGCCGCATCTACAGGGATTGGGTTCCAACCCCTCCCACGGATACAAAAAAATGCAGAGATATAAAATATTATACACTGCAGGATCTAGTGGCCAATTCTAGTAAATACATGCTGAAAATACATAAAATTGTATAATGTATACATATGCATAAATCGATGGGGTGGGTGTTATTAGTATTTTAAGGCAGCAGAAAAGTGAATCAGTGGGCACTGATCCCACAGATGGGGGTGGGCCCTACTGTATTAGAATAGTCAGCTCAGTTCTGGTTGCACCTTCTCTTCTGGCTTCTGAATCTCCTCTTCTCCAATCTTCTTGCCAATGGCTGTTTCTTCCACACCAAAAATATCGGTACGGCGCTCAGCCAGCTGTTTCAAGCTGCTTTCAATATCCAAACCTAAACGGAAAACATAGGTTTACTGTATTTTATCCTGGCACGAGCCAGGAGGTGAGGCTGAGGAGCCTAACGCCGAGGGAGGCCCGGAAGGAAAGGACACGAAACCGGGCCTTCTCAGCGGTGGCTCCTCGCCTCTGGAATAACCTTCCTCTGGTTATTGGTGCGGCCCCTATGCTGGGCACTTTTAAGAGTCAACTAAAAACATGGTTGTATGTTCAGGCCTTCCCTCCTGTCAATATTTAATTCTTTCTTTATTTTTTCTTTCATTTATTATTTGTTTTATTATTGTATGTGTTATGGACTGTTTGTAAAATTCTTATATTTTTGTATACCCCTTATTGGAAGCCGCCCAGAGTGGTCGACCAGACCAGATGGGGAGCATATAAATCAAATCAAATCAAATCAAATCAAATCAAATCAAATCAAATCAAATCAAATCAATCAATCAATCAATCAATCAATGCTGTGTTCCACCCGCAGTTGCCAATCCCTCTGCTGGCATTGTTCTCAAAAGCAACAGCAATAGGAGGTACAAGCAGTCTCCCTCAATTATACTAAAAGGAGCATGAAGAGAAAGCATGTTGATGTCGCCATGCCAAGCCTCTCTGGACTGACCTGGGGCGTAGACCTCGTCGTCGGTTTGCTTCTCCCGGAGAGAGCGATCCCTCTGTTCCAACCAGCGAGGGTCCAGAAGCCCAATGCGCATGTGCTCCTGCATTTTGCTGGCGGGAATTTTCTCCCCCGTGATGGGAGAGACGAGATACTCATCCGGGGCAGGAGTTGGCGGCAAAGGCTTGGAAGCTAGAGGGAGAGAAAGTCACACCATTAGAAATGTACAGGATGGTGGGGATCCGGGCTGTAAGCACGCCCGAGCAGAAAAATCCCACCGTTCTGGAAGCAAAACTTACCCTTAGGATCATAATCTTTCCTCACAATGACCTGGTCCGGAGTAGGAGGAAGAGGGGGTGGCATCGGGGCTTCTGGAGGAGGGGGTGCCTTCTGATTCTCATCTTCTTCATCAGACCCCTTTAAATTTAAAAGTCACAGATCATGAAGCGGTGGGGTCCAGTGCAGGACTGAGACACTCCTTGCTTGAGCCACCAGTGGGAGCATGGAGCCAGTGCTGCAGTTAAAAGGTGGGCCAAGGGCCTGACTTCCCCCACCCCACAGAACCGTCCTTTCCTTCCAAAACACTGCGCCTCCAAGCATCCATCCCTCCGTGTAACACTCCTCCTCATGCGGCTTTGCATAACTGCTACTCACACGGGCCCTTGACGGATAAGCCATCAGCAAATACTGGGGCAAGATCTCCGCTTCCCCGTCGCTTTATAATTGCCTCTTCCAAACCTAATTGCAAACCTAATCTGCATCTATACAGATGCTGGCGAGCACGAAGGATGGCCTAATGAGGAGCCTTTGCTTAAATCAAGAAAAGAGGACCATGGGGTCCCATTAAAGGAAAGGTCAATCCACCCAGCCCCAAATTTCCGTAAGGGTAGAGATGCCAGGGGAAAAAATGACAGCCATGGGCCTTTTCTTTCACAGAAGGCTGGTTTTTGTCTGGGGTCAGAAGGCACCTTCCCCAAACTGGAACGGGTTAGCAACGCAGGATGGAGGCAAACCTGGGACGGGTTTGTTCTTCTGAAGGGACTGATTCGTTCTGTTTGGTAGAGATTAAACCTAGCTAAGGACTCCTCCTTGGCTTTTACTGGTAGCTCTGGTCGCTGTTTCCTCAGGCTCAGTTTGACGAAAGGCGAGCTGCAGAAATATTGGCACATATCAAAGGAATACTGCGATGCAAGGTGGGCGACTGGGGAACCTTGAAGGGACTTGGGACCCTCCAGAGTGGTTTAAGAGCCTTCTGATTCCCTTTGCGTTTGTGTGGCTCAAAAGGTTTTGACATGCCTCTGGCTATCTCCCCCATATCAGTTCACTCCAAACTGCCCTACAGACTCAAAACACTTTGTCTTTAAAAGAAGCTCAGCGCAGCACAAAGATTTAGAATGCTGGTGACACACGGAGAATTCAGGAATGAATTCTCAGCCGTATGGCTGGGCCCTGGGGTGACCAGAACCTCCGCCGTCCTCTCAGTGGCTCTAGATCTGACTTACTTCATCCATGTCCTGCACTTGGGTGTCCTGGTCCAGCTGGGAGGGCGTCTCTTCTGTCTTCTCCGTCTTCTCGTCTTCCTCGTCTGACTCCACTTCCATCTCCACTTCCTCGCTTTCGCCAAACTTCTCATAGCGCTCTTGGATCAGAATTCGGGCACCCAGCTCCTCCGGAGTGGTCGGCGGAGGAAAGTTCCCTGAAGGGAGAGAAGGGGAAAGATAAGGCCTTCCCACCCTTCTTCATCATTTAACTGCCCTTTTGACGTTGGAGCTGCTAGGTCATTTTGCTCTGTTAAAACGCCAGCCTGGCAGGCACCAAATTAAACCGGACAGAGACTACAGTCTTCTTACCCTACAGCTGAAGAAGCTCAGCCCCTAGCACACTTCCAGATCTAGTCCCTTCCGGTTTTGAAATAAAACTTCTACAGGACTAAAGAAGTAGCACTGGGTGGGAGGGTGAGCAGACGGATATGTCAAAAATATAAAACATACCCCAGACGTTTAAAAACATTTGTTTGTGGGAAGCAAGACTCCTGGAGACCCTCTGGGCACCGATGTGGCCTTTGAAAGTTGACCACCCCAAGGACTACTGGTACTGAAGAAGCACAGCTGCCCCGGACAATCATAATCAGGACCAAAAGTCATATGACAGCCTGCCTCCCGAAAGCTAGTTGGGGCTGACAACCACAGGACAAGGAGCTTCCCGAGGGCTAGACCAGAAAGCCGACAGAAGGTGGGGAAAAGCAAGCTTGCGGTCATAGCCTTTCAAGGAGTCTGAGTTAAGGTTTCCTCCTCCCCGGATGCTGCATTCACCCAAGCTTTGAGCGCCACGGTCGACTTAAAGAACTGAACCAACCTGGCTCCGAGGGCTGGAAGTCCACGGTTTCAACCACCACAAAATCATGCCAGTCGATCTGGGCATAAGCGACCCGCTCTCGTTCCTTTTCCTCCTCTTCTTTCTTCCGCTCTCGCTCCTGAAACTTGGCCCACTCCACTCTGTAGCAAACCTATGCAAATATACCAAGTAAAAGGGGAGGTGGACACCTTAGCCTCTTATGAGAGTGTACAAAAGGCAACCGCCACTCCTGGTGCTCCACTGGCACGGAATTAGAAAACCAGCAGAGTTTGCAGACGCCTCACGGGAATAAACAGGGAAAATCCCCTTCAACTCTACCATCCGATTCCCGTTTTGGACCACCTCAAACCTCAATATGGAAGAGTAAGGACAAACTATGCCCTTCCACCATCACTTAGGCCACAACCACAGATTCTGGATGGCCACCAGGGTCCAAATTTGTGAATCGCTACATCCCTGGGGTTGGTAATTAAAAGCCTCTAAAAAATTAAAAAGAGTAATTTGTGGAAATGCCTTAGGAAGCAACGTGTTCTTGCCCTGAGCAAAGGGTCGGATTCGACGGCCTTACAGGGCACTTCCGCCTCTGTGATTCTATGATCATAGGTCACAAAATGGAGTAACACGCCAATATGAGAAAAGAAACACCAGGTCAATTTTGACATTGCAGTAATTGCCTTCATTAAAAATTACACAATTTGGCTAGAATCACATTTACTTGAAAGTAAAACCTTCCAAACTCATTACATAGGGCTTACTTTTTAATACAGGGATATGGGACCTTTTACACTACATGTGCTGTAACGTTGTGTACTTTTTTGCTAGATCTTTAAACCCGTGCTTGATTCCCTGTGCATTACATACATTCTTACACACATGAAACGATATGAGCTCAGAAGCTTACTGAAAATTGTTGGAATTAAACCTATATTAGTTACCTGGTCCAAGACTTCTTTAGGGTTCTCTGCCTCCTTCTTTAGTTTTATAATTAGTCCTTTTGGTGGAATCAAGATCTGAAAAACACATTTTTTCCCAAGAGAGTTTAAAGAAATCAAATCTGCTTTGTTTTTTTCATTCTGTGAAGACGGCAGTATCTAGGCACAACACGCATGTAAAACAAATTCTGCACCAGAATAGCTCATGACTTGTCGACATGAGGTGGAAACAAGCATGCAGGGGTCTGGAAAGCAAAACCACTGGGGGTCTTGCTCAGTGAGCTTCAGATAGCAATAGGTAATGCACACACACTTTCAGAAGTTTCTTTCCAGCGGTAACAACTTGAAACATCTTTGTTGTTGTGTTTAAATGAAAGCTAAACTTTTTAAAAAAATATCGGACATCACATGCCTTTTCTGCATTTTCAAAATATACATTTTGCTTTGGCTTAAAGTAGATCATTCTAAAAACAGTGCCAGCCTATAGGTACAAGAGAAATGTGTGACTGCTTGTTTTAAAGGAAAAGGGGTACAGGTATGAGCAAAGCCCATGGTGGAAAACCGCTCTGAAACCTGTTTGCAGAAGCTGGGATTTCTCACCTTGGTGTATTGTTCAACCAGTTTGGTGAAATAGTTGAAAAGACTATGTTGGGGCCGCAGAAAATCAAACTGGTAGTTCCTTTGTTCTTTCTGCATCAGCTGGGTGAGGAATTGCCTGCCGTTGCGAGCAACAAACTGGGCCGTGAGTTTGACCACATCCAAGTCAAAGGCAGAGATCGAGGGAGGATCCGCAATGAACTCAAACTCGGGAGGCGGCTCCTTCGGCACAACTGACTCCTGAATCACCTGGGCCTGTACCTACAGAAGGAGCAGACAATCACGCGGGCTGTTTTCATGCATTAATATATTTGCTAAAATTTAACAGATGTGGTTCTAAGTCAAGAGTTACAATGAGGAGGAATCTCCTTAATAGGAACAAAGAAATGTGCCATGTTGGTGACAGGTTGCAGAACCCCTGCTGCTTGCTACACTCCGACGCAAGAGTAGGAATTTTCCAGCCTGCATGCCCAACTTCAAGAACCCCTACACCAAAAAGAGGGTGGGGTTCAGCCAAAAAATGGCCAGTCAAATCCCCCAAGACTCTGAGTGGCCATTTAAAAGATCTATAGCCTCCTCATCTAGCTGGTTCTGAGCCTGAAAAAGCCTTCGGCCCACATCTGGGGCTAAGTGTGCCCACCACCCAAGATATCTTAGGGGGCAGCTTTAGAGGTCCACAGGTTGGAAGACATAATAGAATCCTAGAATCATGGGGTTGGAAGGGGCCAAGAAGGCCATCAAGTCCAACCCCTTGCTCAGTGGAGCACTCCAAATCCAAGCAGATCTCATAGACCATTTTCCAATTTCCTCTTGACTGCCTCCAGGGTTGGAGCGCTCACCGTCTCCTGAGGTTCTGGGTCCCATTCTTGTACAGCTCTAACTGTTAAGAATTTTTTCCTGATATTCAGCCTAGATCTGGCTGCCTGTTGCTTGAGCTCATTATTATGGGTCCTGCACTCTGAAATGATTAAGAACATAATTTGTAGCAATGTCATAATTCGTAGCAAAGGGCAAGAGGCCTAAAAAGATGTGTGTGTGAGAGAGACTGCACTCTGAAATGATTAAGAACATAATTCGTAGCAATGTCACCAGAGTGAGGGCAAGAGGCCTAAAAAGGTGTGTGTATGTGTGTGAGAAGAACCACCGCAAGCACATGGACTTCATGTGACACCAAAAAGATTGGAGAGACTCAATTGTGAAGACAAAGCCAAGAGAGGCGCCCTCTTTACCTTTTGGGGAAGCTGCTGCTGGGCGCTCTGCTGAGCCTGCATGACCTTCGGGATGGCTGCCGAGGGCTCCTGGGCTTTCCCCTCCTTGAACTCATTAACTTTGTGCCGATAGTAGGCATGGTAAGGGTCGTTGGGGTTCAAGAAGTTGAACTTGGGGTTATTGATCTCATTCTGACGGATACGGGCTTCAAACTCGGGGCCATTTCTGGAAAGTTGTACGACAGAGATTAAACAGTGCCCAATGACCAACCACAAAGTAAGTATTAAGGTGAATGAATGAAGGCCAAGTTGTCATAAAACACAGCTGGATGACATTGACTGCATAATGAAGAACAAAAGGTAGATTGTTGCATTGGGTCACTCAAGGTCAACTAAACAGAAGATAAGGGCCTCCCTGCTTTGAAAACACTGGGGATTGGTCTGGCTGTAGAAGAACCCTCATGCTATCCAAACACCAGGAGGAACGAGAATAAAAGGTACAATACGACCCCTGTATCCACAGGGAATCGGTTCCAAGCCTCCCCCACCCCCACGTGCTGAAAAACATGGATTATAACAAATGGGATTTTAATAATGAAAGCTACACACAGCATGGTCTCTGGCTCCCTCTAGTGGCCAGTTTTTTCATATTTTAAATTTAGAAATACTATACTATATATTTCCAGAATTTTCCTTTTAATGTTTTTTTTTATTTTCAGGCAGCGGATAAGTGAATCCACGGATACTGATCCCACAGATAAGAGGCCCCAGTGTACTTCATCACCATACAATTTATTTATTTGCAACACGGCAACTAACTTTGTTACTTTTGCCCTTGGACGACCCCTCAGGCTGTCAAAACCTTTCCTTGTGTTTATCCCAGCAAGGAGATGACAGATATTCCAGGCACCCAGTCTAGAGCGTCTCCTTACCTGGCTACAAAGCTGGCAGTCTTGTCCACAATATTCCTAACTTCTGGAGGAGGATAAATAATTCCCACGACAGGCTTGGCAGGGGTGGCTTCTTCTTTTGGTTCATCTTCCGGCTGCAATTAAGAGTTAAAACAGGAAGCTTTGAAAAGGTACACAGAACATTTTCAGAACCGGTTTGCAGGGAAATAAGTAAGAGGACTGCTCCGAAGCAGAGCCTCTCCTGTGGGAATGTTCTTTTCTGTAGCAAGAAAAAGGGAATTGAGGCACCGGAGCATCCAAACCATACATCAATAACCACCCTTCAAATCTTTCTGCCACAAATTCATTTAATGGCCTTACATAAACACCTCACACCTCCAAGCTTCAACCCTCATGTTCTTTATTTCAGTGCAAAATATGTGATGCATTTCAGCTTTCTTCAAGCGCTATATACCATTAAAATAATTACAACTACAATATCATAACATTGGGGGCTACATTGTATAAAGTCATGAACACATGACTATAATGATTATAACTCCACAATGCATCCATAAATTGGATGCTACCATCCAAATATATGTTGTCATATTTTATGATATCATATTTTATTAATTATATGTAAAGGGTCCTTCACTTTATTTAGGATATTATAAACTGCACTTTAACTCTGATGTTGTACTATTTTGTTATTTTATGGTTTTGTTACTGTTGTAAACCACCCAGAGTGGCCCTCGCTGCCAGATGGGCGGAAAATGGCCGCCGCAATACCCGATCTTCGCAATGCGGGTTTTCCCCATTGCGAAGATCGGGTATGTTTCCGTATAGCGATCCCGAAAAAGGGATCGCTATATGGAAACATCGCTATACGGTGCACTCGTTAAGCGAGGCACCACTGTACCATTAAAATAATTACAACTACAATATTATAACATTGGGGGCCACATTGTATAAAGTCACGAACACATGACTATAATGATTATAATTCCACAATGCATCCATAAATTGGATGCTACCATCCAAATATGTGTTGCCATATTTTATGATATCATATTTTATTAATTATATGTAAAGGGTCCTTCACTTTATTTAGGATATTATAAACTGCACTTTAACTCTGATGTTGTACTATTTTGTTATTTTATGGTTTTGTTACTGTTGTAAACCACCCAGAGTGGCCCTCGCTGCCAGATGGGCGGCATATAAATCAAATAAATAAATAAATGTTTTAAACCTGTATTATTCTGATAATTAGTAATATTCTTGTCTAAAGCATTGCATCAATATGTCAAAATTAGGAACCTGAACATTAAAAATATATATTTCATTTACTCTGTTGCCCCTGAAGAAGGCTGCTTGGCTGAAACATGTTGGGCATTTTAAACAGAAATGAAAAATGCCATACTTATTAATTATATTGGAACTAATTTTCCCTCTTTTTGACCTAAGATTTCAGTGGATGGGCCAGTTCCTTTGGTTACTTAATGGCCCTCTCTGCTGCCAATCTCAGCGCTTGAAATTTCTGTATACTTACAGTATTGATCTTTGCCTTAATATTGACTTTTAATGATGTTCGCTGCCTTTTTATACTCACTTTTAGCTTTAAATACAGTATTGTCTTTTAACGATGTGAGGTGGGATAAAAATATTATAAATAAGTAAGTAAATTGTTCTTATATTGTCTTTTCATATGCTTGGCCAAAACATGTTGGGCATTTTACACAGAAATGAAAAATACTATACTTATGAATTATACTGGGACTAACTTTCCCTCTTTTTGACCTAAGATTTCAGTGGATGGGCCAGTTCCTTTGGTTACTTAATGGCCCTCTCTGCTGCCAATCTCAGCGCTTGAAATTTCTGTATACTTACAGTATTGATCTTTGCCTTAATATTGACTTTTAATGATGTTACGCTGCCTTTTTATACTCACGTTTAGCTTTAAATATTGTCTTTTAACGATGTGAGGTGGGATAAAAATATTATAAATAAATAAGTAAATTTGTTCTTAGATTGTCTTTTCATACTCATTGTTTCCAACTTTAAATATTGCATTTCATTGCTGTAAGCCGCCCTGGGTCCTTTCCACAGAGAAAGGAGGGGAGTGGGAAATATATTAAATAACATAAATAAACACTCCTTTCCACTGCATTGCACCCAGCAGAGCATTCCAGACTACGATTCCCAGCATACACCGCTCGGCTCGCAAAGCATTCTGGGAGGAGAACCTCTCCCTTCAAAGGCCTGTGTAAAGAGGGGGGGGGGAGGAAGGGAACGGGGAGGGCGAGGAAAGAAAAGGAAGGAACGGTTTTCCGAAGGAACAGACGGAGACAGTACCTGCTTCGCTTCAGGCGGCGCTACCTGAGCGGGCGCCATCGCCTGCACCGGCCCCGTCGGCATGGCGACGCTTCTCCCCGGAGCGCAAGACCCGCCGCACTCGCCGAAATCCCCAACGCGGCGACAAAATGGCGGCGTCGGGCGGGATGCGCGCGCATTCAGAGTCGCCCGCCAATAGGAGGAGCTTCCGAGGGGAGGAGGTGAAAAATGACCCCTCTGTGCGCAGGCGCATTTCTCCTCCTAGGAACGCGGCTCCGCACCATAGAGAGGTCAGGCTAGAGCTTTTTCCTGCAAGGCGGCTTCTCTGAAGGAAACGGCCGCCCCTCCCCGTCCAACTTTAAATATTGCATTTCATTGCTGTAAGCCGCCCTGGGTCCTTTCCACAGAGAAAGGAGGGGAGTGGGAAATATTTTAAATAACATAAATAAACACTCCTTTCCACTGCATTGCACCCAGCAGAGCATTCCAGACTACGATTCCCAGCATACACCGCTCGGCTCGCAAAGCATTCTGGGAGGAGAACCTCTCCCTTCAAAGGCCTGTGTAAAGAGGGGGGGGGGAGGAAGGGAACGGGGAGGGCGAGGAAAGAAAAGGAAGGAACGGTTTTCCGAAGGAACAGACGGAGACAGTACCTGCTTCGCTTCAGGCGGCGCTACCTGAGCGGGCGCCATGGCCTGCACCGGCCCCGTCGGCATGGCGACGCTTCTCCCCGGAGCGCAAGATCCGCCGCACTCGCCGAAATCCCCAACGCGGCGACAAAATGGCGGCGTCGGACGGGATGCGCGCGCATTCCGAGTCGCCCGCCAATAGGAGGAGCTTCCGAGGGGAGGAGGTGAAAAATGAGCCCTCTGTGCGCAGGCGCATTTCTCCTCCTAGGAACGCGACTCCGCACCATAGAGAGGTCAGGCTAGAGCTTTTCTTGTAAGGCGGCTTCTCTAAAGGAAACGGCCGGGCCCCCCATTTGCCGTCACTTCCGGTCTCCATCCTTAATTGCTCTGCACGTTGGCGATGCACAAAGGAAAAAGTCAGGATATTGCAGCATTTTAAAGACTTAACCCATGTAGGCCAATGTCAGCTTTCAAGACTCCACTTGCTAAGCGAAAGTTCACATGGAAAAAAAGCTTTAATGCAATAAATATTTTGTTTTCTTGTTTCTCTCTTTTTAAATTTGGCCCAGATGAAGAAACAGACGAAGGCGGCTGCTTCTTTGGAAGCCTTCCCCACCCCCGAGAAAAAAATAATCAGATTTTCCACTCATGCGATCCATTTCACGGGTTTCCCCCCAGAAATGTGTGTGTGTGTGTGTGTGTGTTCTTACACCCTGGCAAACCTGTGCAGAAATGCAAACCTCCAGTTCTCAGATGATGATAATGATGAAGTAATGTAAGGTCAAAAGCATGGGTCTGTGCAGAAATGCAAACCTCCAGTTCTCAAATGATGATGAAGTAGTGCAAGGTCAAAAGCATAGGTTTCCAAAGTGGTCTATAGGGACCCCCAGGGGTCAATTTTGACTTGCAGGAGGTCCATGTCAGAGAGAGAAGGGGTCAATTTCGACTTGCAGGAGGTCCACGTCAGAGAGAGAGAAAAAAATCGAGAGTGCACGAGATGTAAAGGTGAGCAGATCCCATTAGGCAGATCATAATAAATATTTAGGCGATCCGTAATTACACCAAACACAGCTTCTGTGTACATAATATTTCATAATATTATTTAATTAGGTACTACTGATTTTTTTTCATTCCAAATACAAATATTCACAGTAGTTGCATTTTGTGTTTTTTCAATAAAGGTATGAATAAAAATTGTATGTCTTTTTTCTACACTTGTGTACTCTTTCAAAGAACCCTTAAAACACGTTTGAAGTCAATAGGTTTAGGAAAATGCGAGGTAGGTAGGAAACACGTTTGAAGTCAATAGGTTTAGGCAAATGCGATATTAGGTAGGCAGGGGGTCTACGTGTCCGACTCTTCGTGACCCCCACGGACCAGAGCACGCCAGGCCCTCCTGTCTTCCACTGCCTCCCGGAGTTTGGTACCAAATTCACGTTGGTCTCAAGGTGCTCCAGACGTGGCTCCTGCTTTGCCAAATAGGCGTTGAAGATACATCATGCCCATAGACAGGTGAGGACAGCCGGCTATTCAGCTGACCCAAAGTGACCTCTAGCTGGCCAGAGGTTCCAGAGCAGATTCATTGACAGATTCACAATCCTGGCTGTCTCTATTTGAGAAGAATCTCCCATGGAATTGCACGCAGCTTTCTCCCATTGAAGGTGTGTGGAGTTCAATATACAATTGTCTTCGAAGTGACACAAGATTCTGGCCATCCTCGTCCCAGCGCCTTTCCTTCATTTGCTGAACCTGACTTGAAGTCATCAATCAATCAATCAATCAATCAATCAATCAAACCCCGCCTTTCTCCTGAAAAGGATCCAAGGCGGGTCTCCTCCTCCCCCCTCAAGCCTTTTTTACAACCCCCTTGCACAGGGGTAGCATTTTGTGGGGGTGCTTTTAATAAACCTAAGACAGCTCTCGCCATTGCGCCTCCTCTTTGGTGCGAGCGGGTCGAACGAGAACCGGAAGAGTCAAGTCCAAAAGGCCAAGCTTACTTCTTCTTTCCTCTTTCTCCCCTGAGGGGGCGGGGCTTAGGGGGGGCGTTCCAAAGGGGCGGTGCCATGGCGGGCGTGCCGGGGAAAGGTGTCGGGGGTTGCCATGGCAGCGACCAAGGCCTAGAAAGCGAGGGCGAGCCTGGTGGCAGTAGTGGAGATTCATTCGACAGGTGGGTCGGTTCCCCCCAACGATTTTGAGGGGGCTTTTTTTCTGGGACCCTGAGATTTCTTCCCCCCCACCTTTTGCCCCGCAGGCGAGCCTGGAACGGCCCCTTTACGCCCTATATCATCTCTAGGTTAAGGGAGATCCTCTTTTCGAGCACTTCCGGCAGAGCGCCTCTGAGCATGTGCAGAGTGCTTTCCCTCCCGCTCCCCTGACACGCAGGCAGAAGGTGCAATTCTCATAAGCCAGCAGTGTTCGTGCAACAAATACACAGTGAATGTTGCAAGTTGGTCTTTACATTGCAATGCCCCCCCCAGGCAGCATTTCTCACGTGCACCCCCCAGTCCTGGGTGCAACAGAGGTACAAGCATCCTGGCAAAGTCATGCACAGGATCAGGGCTGTTACGGTGCAGCCACTGCTCATTCTTAGTACCTCCAACAGGGCAGCACGTGTTCAAAAGTCATCTCTGAAAAATGCAATTCTAAACCCACCTACAAAGGAGAAGATAACTCTGTACATCTTGAGATCACGATATGTATTAATCAATTTTGTTCATATTATAATCTTAGAACTGCGGGAGCTGGAAGGGACCCTATGGGATCATCCAGTCCAGCCTCTGTCATGGAGGCACCGTGGGGAATTCGAACTCCCAACCTCTGCGCTCTGCAGCCGGAGACCTCCAACCCCTGGGTTATCCAGCAGTTCTCGTTTTTGTGTTTAGAAATATAGTGAGAAATGGTTTGCACCCACTTTTGCTTCTTGGTAGAAATAAAAGAAGACTCCTGTAGGACAATCTGTAAGGAACAAGCGGGTTCGTGTCGGGGAAAGTTGTCCTTCCCTGAACTGTTGGCATGATCCGCTCACAAGCTGCCCCAGCAATGGGCTTTAAATCTCACCGTCTCTAGGACCTGGGCATTCTTGGGATCGTTTATCCCACTGTGTCGAAACCCAGTGCCCCCAATGTGCCCCCCAGTACAATAATGCCCATCACGCCAGCCAGCCTGGTTGGGGTTGACAGGCGAGGCTGTCTGACACATCTGGAGAGTGCAAAATAGCAGAAAATTGGGGGCTCATCTGTATTCAATGGATGGGAATTTTTAAAGAAGAGATTCAAGCTGGGGTTCCCCTGTTTTTGCCAAACTTCTGAACGGAAGAAGAGTGAGGGGTGCGATGGCTACTGATGTCTTCCCCCATCAGTTGCTTTCCCTCTTCCAATTTACATCTGTGTTTTCTATTCTGTTGCCTTGACCAGCTTGAGGCAGGCTAGCGGTCACGCACGTGTCTTTCTCTACCCAGGAACATCTCTCGTTAAGACCAAGGCGTGTTGTCACGTAAGGGCGGCAACATGGTGACGATGCTGGTGAATCAAAACTGCATGGAAAGTTTGCGGAAGGACATCACCGATCTTCAAGGGACAGTCATCAGCGTGTTCTCCTGCATCGGGGCTGTGCGCTACCCCTCCTGGAAGTTTCCTGATAAGGTATCTTGTGATCTGGACTTGGTAGCTTTGCTGGAGCGCTATGACTTCTCGGAGAATGATCCCGAATTCACCCAGCATTCCCATGTGGTTCTTCTGGAACTTGTGATTGACAGGTGAGAGCATATTCCGTGGCTGCACCAAAATCCTGTTCTGAGCATCCCCAGCCTCATTGCAGCCCTTCCTAAAAGTTCTTTGCATGCTTGTTTGGAGAGTCCAATAAATGCAGTGGGACGTACTGACGCGTGGATCTGATTGCAAGTGGAGAGACGATACGTGCAGTATGCTTTGCCCAGGTCCCCCTGGCCAAAGAAAGAGGGATCCTTTTGCAATCCATTGAAAAATGCCTGCTTCATTTGGAACTAATGATTATGAATTGTGCTTTGTTTGTTAAACTGTTATTTTGCCATTCTTAGGAAATCAAATGTACATGTGTTGGGTTACTGTAACATTTTCACTGTTAATGAGTTTCCAAATACATTATTGGTTAGTTTTTATATCCTAGAATCATAGAGTAATGGAGTCGGGAGGGGCCTATAAAGCCATCGATTCCAACCCCCTGCTTAATGCAAGAGTCCGAATCAAAGCAGACCCAACAGATGGTTGTCCAATATTCTCTCGAAGGCATTCAAGAATTGGTTCCATTGTTGTACTGCTCTAACAGTTAGGAGGTTTTTCCTGATATTCAATTGAAATCTGGCTTCCTGTAACTTGAGCCCATTATTATGTGTCCTGCATTCTAGGATAATTGAGAACAGATCCAGATAAATTATTGTATTCATTTTCGTACGTCATTGTAGACTATTTGGACTTACTTTTATATGGAGAATTAGGGTAAAGATGTTGACTTCACATGAAAACTAGATTTCCTTTCTGTCCTACAAAGGTTGCTATTGCTGCTTCAGAGCTTCATGGGATACACAGACAGCTTAATCGGTGAACACACCCGGCCTCCCTCCAGGACAACAAGACCTTGCATGTCTATTGGGCTGGCAGTAAAAAAGTACTGGACTAGCATGCTGAAACTGGGCACCCTCTATGAGCAGCTGGCAGCAGAGGTAGGCGCCTTAAGGAGCTTGGTGTCTGCTGCACGCCCACCAAGTGAGTTCTTATCAAAATAGGTGCAACCTTCCATCTTGCCATTTTCTTTTCTGGGGCTCCAAGGGTTGCAGGCAGAGATAAAAGATCCAGGGTATCCCAATTCTGAGGGATATAAACCACAAGAGAGGTTTAAGAAGTATGGTGTTCCCATCCATCCATTTTCATTCATTCGTCCGGAGGCTGCTAAATGCTTTTGTGTAGATTTCTGTAACCTGTCTAACAGTGGCCTTAAAAACAGGCAGTTTAGATAGGTTGTCCAGAGAGTCCCACTGTACAAGGACGTTGTCAGGAACACCTTTGGAAATAGTTTGAACTTATGAGGGCACCCTAAGCCATACCAGAGCTGAACGGTGGAGGATTTCCTGGCTCATTTTTCCAGAAGTCATTTTTTTCCCCATTGAAGATAAACTTAGGGATGCAGCTGGCATACCAGATGGGTCTAAGAAGTTGTTTTTGCTTATTTTACATGAAAACGACACATTCTTAGGAATCTGATGTAGAGAGCAAGATTGTTGCATAGACATAACCACGCAAAAGGGTTTCATACACAGAATCAGTAGTGCCTCGTGGCACGTAGGACTGGAAGAGTGTGGCGGAAACTACAGTCAACATTGCGCAGTACCGGCTAGTTCTGGTTTCATTGGCCTTCCTTTTCTCTTGCAGCAGCTGGCTGGATAGCTCAGAGGTTGAGGTTGGGAGTTCGATTCCCCGCTTGTGCCTCCCAGAAGAACCAGCCTGGGTGGCCTTGGGCAACCTGCACAGTCCCACAGCGCCCCTAGAGGAAGGGAAAGCAAATGACCACTTCTGTGTATTCTCCACTTGGAAAACCTGAATGGAGTCACCATAAGTCATAACTGACTTGGCTTCTTCTT